CTCAATTGCGCAAAAATAAAATAACACTGGCATCTCATTTTTTACAGATATATATACCAAAATTACACAAAAATATCTTGAAATACTAAAGACTAAATTTATTCAATAAAATCGCCATTGGCTTCAACCAGACGATTTCAGAATTTTCTGCAACTCTTCTGGACAGTCTCCTTGTTTAAGTTGGTGAATGCTCCCATAATCCTCGCCCTCAGTTCGTCTATGATATTACAAAGTGTTTTGTTGGACTATCGCTCAACTGCGCCATACAAATAATTATCAAGGAGGTACAAGTCTGGGGTGTTAGGTAGCCAGATTTAAGTGGTGGCGTAGTCGCAGAAATTGTGTTCTCCTGCTTGTGTGGCATGGTGCAGTGTCCTGTTTTTAGACATAGGGTCTTCCAGCAGCTACATCTTCATCCAGGGCAGCACCATCCCCTCAAGGTAGTTGATGTTGGCCTATATGTTGAGTCTTAGATCAAGTCACTGACCAACAAATTCAGGAGTTCTTTTCTTCAGAACGTTCAGATTGAGTCTTTCGAGCTGCCATATTTTCGTAATTACCATTAAACTCATTCAACTCTGGCCAAATCCTCTGCACTGTCTTCAGATTAACACCCAAAGGCTGAAAATGTTCATATCGGAGCTTCCAGCGCGAATGCAAAGTAGTACAGTATTTCATTCTGGCGAATTGAAATACTTCATGGTGTTCTTTTTCTCACCAACTGACCCTAATATACCGTACAGTCGGCAAAAACAAAAACAAAAAATGAGCATACGCCAAATTAAAAATATATCCTGAAAAATTTATTTTAGTTGAGCTCTCTGCGAGGAAGTGTAGGTTTGTAAACAGTGACTATTACGGCTAATAATGCAAGACTCTTCGCTAAATCGAATCGAATTCTTTCAGTCACTGTGTGTTTATCTAAAAATAAATATGCTTAAATTCAGGTTCGTCACCGCCTTGCGCCAACGGCTTACTGGTAGAATCCCCGTGTAATGCCATTTCACTCAGAGTTCCATCCTAGCTAGAGACAACCGGACGTCTAGCCACACTGATAATCTATGATACAGCGAAACAGTCTGTCTGTGGATAACGATATATATATATATATATTTCTACACAGTCCAGTCTTCTAAAATCATACCATTATATATTGTCCAATTTTCTAAAATTATACCGATATATATGTATATCTATATTTATATATATATATATATATATATATATATATAATATATATATATATATATATATATATATATATATATATATATATATATATATATATATATATATATACGTATGTGTGAATGCGGATATATATAAAATCTTACTTAATGTAGATTGTCCAGTCCTCTAAAATCAATTTACCTCTATCCTCTGAATATTCGACCCCCGCTGCCTCAAAATCCACCAGTTTTAAAGATATTTGACCTTTTTTCTCTTCATTTACGAATCGACCCTCAGAATATACGTACGGCGTTTTGTGACTCCCCACACCCAATATCCTGTTCATCGCTTCCTTTTGCGTTTCCACCGGCATAAACTCGTTCACGGAATTGGACAAATGTCCACGGCCTTCGCCTCTGTATAGACTTCACTTAAAACTCCGAGTAGCTCCACTATTGACAAAGGGACAGATTTATATCCGACATTTTCTTTTCGTGTTTTTCTTTCTTTTTTTTTTTTTTCAGTTTCTCCTTGTCTTACCAGTAAACAATCCATTAAGAAGAAATGGTCAGTGTATCCTCTTCCTTCTCCTCCTCCTTCTCGGCCTCGTTATCGTTTGTATTTCTACTTGTTTTCACCTTCTCCGACACTCAACACCGCCATCCCTCTTATCTGACTCTCCCTACCGTGCCTCTCTTTATCGCCTGCCTCCTCGTCTTCCCAGAATTCTCTTCTTCCTCCCAACCTCGAGGCCTTACGAAATGTCCGTAATCGATTCCCTTACGTTTTCTCGTTGTCCGATGATCGCTTGAATGTCCTTCAGGACGAGACATTAAACCTTCCCCGCCTTCCTCATCGTGTGTATGTATATGTGCGTGTGCGAGTGTCTCTCTCTCTATATCTCACTTTCTTTCTCTCTCTCTTTCTCTCTCTCTTTCTCTCTCTTTCTCTTTCTCTCTCTCTCTCTCTCTGAAAAGAAATGCGAACGGATCGATAGTTCTCGACTGTCTATTATTGCTTTCTTAAACGACCCCTCCACCCCATTCCAATCCAACCGCCCTAAACCGAGACCTCGTCTTTGCCGCATTCAGCGCAAGCAAGAAATATGTCCCGGCGATAGTTTCTCGATTCGAAAATGTGCATTTATGTCATGCGACAGTTAAAACAGCGAGCAACTTGTATCGATAAATTGTCGTTAGAACGAGATGTAACTACCGCGGAAGTAGAGACACTCCTTGAGATATACCGATTATCAATCCTGATATCTGTAACAGTCACTATCTCTTTCAAAATGATTACTTACCTAATTAACCTCTTCCACTCACCTCTCCTAAAATTCTCTCTGTTAAGGTTTAATCTCCCTCCTTCTCTAGTCTGTTACCCCTCATACTTACTCTCTCTCTCTAAATTCTGTTTTTATTTCCGGAGTTGTTTTTTCTGTTTTTTTTTTTTGAATTTGTAGGTCTGATGAATTGGATCGTATTTACGATTCCAATGGAATAAATTATGACTATGGAATATTAGTGTTTAAGCCTTTTTTATATATATATATATATATATATATATATATATATATATATATATATATATATATATATATATTGTGTGTGTGTGTGTGCATTGAGGCAGCATTTTTTCATTCATACATGTTTCATTAAATAATATAGACAAGTGTTGTCTATTTATTTTATGTAAATTCTTATCATAACGTTGCTTGGAAACCATCCATGTAAACAATAACAGACTATCATCACTGTCTTGTCCGTATATTGCTTAATATATCGTACGGTAATTGACATCTTTGATAATGGCTTATGTAAGCCGAAAGATTAGATTGAATTAAATATGGATCAATATTGTGATTTTCTTTCTTCGTTTAATGATAATGTTATTAAGATTATCAGACGTTATGTCTATATTATTTAATGAAACATGTATGAATATATATATATATATATATATATATATATATATATATAGAGAGAGAGAGAGAGAGAGAGAGAGAGAAAGAGAGCAAGGAAAATGAGAGAGAACAAGTAAAAGGAGAGAGAGAGCAAAGAAAAGGATTTTTTTTCATATAAACAAAAACAATTTACTCACTACAAAGATGCAACCTCGTTTCGGTGCATTTAGTTGCACTTCGACTGGTGAGAACCAAAATGGTTATGAAAAATTCCGTTTGTAAGACGGCCGCTCGTGGAACGTCAATTCCTTTTTTCTATTTGTTTGAAAAAATAATAGCATTTTAAAAGAGGACGTATAAGCGTAAAGAACAGACAAGGGAGGCAACGGTGTGACAGAGTGAGACAATAGTGCTTGTTAATAGAAGTTTGGCGAATAATTGTTGAGGTGTTAATGTGATGGCTCAACCCTTAACACATTTACACCACAACAATCCTTCACTAAACTTCTATCAACAAGCACTATTGTCTCACTCTGTCACACATTTGCTTTTCCTATCCTTTCTTGATACACACACACACACACACACACACATATATATATATATATATATATATATATATATATATATATATGGGGTCAGTAAAAACATTAAAAGATAAAATGCCGATAACTAATTCATCATTTCGCTGGACCAACCTTAATTTTTTTATAACCCTTCGCGCAGAACTCTTCATTGCCAATTCAAGAAAGAAATTCGCATTACCAACACACAAGCAGAAAATGTCTCATATCGAGAATATTTAACATTGAACATAAGGAAAAAATTAATTATTTTTAATAATATATGGAAATCTCCGCTTTTACCTGAAGACGGTCGCGAGACCAGAAACACGTGTCGTAAAATTATGTAAAACAAAGCATAATATTTTTTTCTAAATAAATCCACATTACAACCAAAAACGTTTGCGGCACCTCTCTTCTCTTCTTTTTAATATATTTAATTTCTCTCGTTGGAACCTCTACAACATAATTCTTAATAATAAACAGCAGGAAAGCTTAGATGAAACGCAATCTTATACAACTGTGTAGCCTCGCGTCCATTACCATTCACGCTGCTGTATGTAAAACTCATAACTTTCTGTCCACGTTATGAATATGCCGCTATTGTTAAAGCTGAACACTTTACAGTTAACTCGCGCGTGTTAAGTGTTGAAGACAGTCTACCCATAAATGTGCACATATCACAAATGTAACCTAGTCTCTATAGCAACAACAACGCCATCTGCTGTCAACTTACTTTAAATTTAATAACTCAAAAACGAAGGATTTTCAGGTATATGTTCATATGGAATTTTGTCCTTGTTTTAATGTGAGGAACTTGCTCTTGTAAAATTATTTTGGTACACCCTGTATATCTGTAAATTCAGAAAACTAATAAAGCAGACTACAATCCATTGAATATATATATATATATATATATATATATATATATATATATATATATATATTGTGTATATTTAAGCAGCAATTAATACTTAATACTTCTCATTTTTCACTCTCGCGTGGTCATGTGTGACGTCACGAGCTGTGACTCGATTTTCACTTCCGCGTCTCGTATATACGAGTTTGTCGTTGATTGAAATTTTCATGCAGCAAGGGCGGACTATCATTGTTGTTTCGTCCGTTGTTGTTTGATTTATTGAAATTGTCATCTTTGATAATGGCTTGTGTAAGCCGAAAGCTTAGATTGGATTTAAACATGTATCAATATGGTGTTTTCCTTTCGTCTTTCAACGATAATGTCATTAAGCTTATCAGACAATATGAAAGAAACTTATTAAAAATAAATAGACAAAACTTGTCTATATTATTTAATATATATATATATATATATATATATATATATATATTATATTCAGTTGACTTTAGTCTTCTTTATTATCTTTTGACTTTACGTATATACACATAGATAGATAGATAGATAGATAGATAGATAGATAGATAGATAGATAGATAGATGAGAGTTTCCCATTGATGTCAAATCGGTCTAGTTCCATCCCGGTTTGAAGTAATCGCATGTGTATTCACACTGATGAGCGAAACAGTTTGTCTGTGTCTATGAATGACTATATAGCCCCCACCTCGTAGGTTCAAGAGAAGGAATTTGTCAGCTGCTGCTAATTAGCGCTAAAAGCACTTTACTATGAATTGAGCACTCTGGTAGCCGGTAATGTTTATATCTCGTAGATAATGCGTTAAAAATTCCCTTTTCCGCAATCGCATGTCTATTTACACTGATTATGAGCTCTGATCCGGCGAAAGAATCTGTCTGTCGATGACTATATATATATATATATATATATATATATATATATATATATATATATTGTATATAAAGGTAGTAGTCCTTCATTAATATATATTTTTGCTGAATACGACGAACAAGAATTATTTTATAACTTTTATTCAGTTTTCCTCGTTTCCACACAATTTTCCTTTAATGAGAACAAAGGGTGCTTAAAAACTATCGCTAGTCATTATTGTCACAAGCGCTTTATGTCGATAATGGAATCCCGAAATTCTGGACACATAGGAAATCTCATTAACTTTTCTTTTTTTTTACCTCAACAGATTATACATGGTTTAGTCGAAAGAAGAAAGAACTGACTTCTTTTTCTGGGGTCTGCTAAAGGAGGTGTACTCAATGAAAATCACAGATGCCGTACACTTGATTGAACGCAGAAAGAGTGAATGTGCTAAAATTGACGGCAGTGTGGAGTTATTGCATCGAGTTCACGTGAATCTTGCAAACCATATCAACCTTGATATGACAAATGATGGAAATCATATTGAAGATGTTATTTGATAATATTTCAATCCTCAAATATATGCATTTTTGCCTATATGTCCAAACTTTACGGACAACCTGAATATTTATCTACATATGGTATTGATTAGTAAAATCAATACCATTGTCCGTCCCAAGGCTAGGTGTATTATAATTGGGGTTAACAAATTTTAAAACCATAAAAGTCTACTCAAAGAACTTTTCGGGAAAATAATTTGCAAGGTAAAAGGGCTATTAGCTATGAGGAGACAAGTCGACTCCGATCGATCCACTTCAACTTGTGAGCAACCAATTGAACAACTCATAAACAATGAGGTAAAGCAATTTAACTATGTGGCTTATGTAGCCATAAAGGGCGGGAAAAGCAAATCGTAAAATAATGATATTTCAATATTTCAATTATTCCGTCAAATAGAACAGCATTTTTTATCATCATATCAGAGACATATACAGGGTGTCCCTAAAGTCCGGAGACATATGTAATCTCATTAACTGTATAAATCCACGGGTTAAACATGGTTTTGACGAAAGAAAGAACTTATACAGGGTGTCCCTAAAGTCCGGACACATGGGTAATCTCATTAACTGTATACCTCCACGGGTTATACATGGTTTTGACGAAAGAAGAAAGGGTGTCACTAAAGTTTGGAAACATGGGTAATTTCACTATTTACATTATTAGGACTATTCTCCTCATCTTTGTCGCCATATTTATTACAACGTTTCGGCAACAAAGATGAGGACAATAGTACAAATAATGTAAACAGTGTACATAATACCTCATCTCAGAAATATAGACAGATACTGATAGGAAATCTCATTAACTATATTTTTTTTACATTCACAGTATAAACATGGTTTTGTCAAAGAAGGAAAGAATTGAGTTCTTTTTCTGGGATATGCTAAAGAAAATGTACCCAATGAAAATCACAGATGCCGTCCACTTGATTGAAAGCATAAAGATAGAATTTGCTAAAATTAACGACCATGAAGTGAAGTTATTTGATCGAGTTCATGAGAATCTTGCAAAGGTCATCACCCATTACATCGCAAATGATGGAAATCATATTGTACATGTTATTTGTTTACATGCCACTTCAATAAAATGTTGTTGAAACTTTAATCTCTTGAAAATATGCATTTTTGTCTGTGTCCAGATTTTAGGGTAACACTGTATAAGGAGTTTATATTTATTACGCCGATATTTTGATTATTTGAATGTTATTTTTAGCAGTTGAGTAGATGAGGTCCATTTCTTTTTTAATCACTGTTTTATTTTGTCTACCGCCCTAAACATTCGAGAAATCTTATGAAAAAAAAATGCAGTTTATCTCTAATATGATTTCTCGAATGTTCAGGCTGGTAAAAGATAATAAAATAGTATTAAAAAAAAAATAAACCGAGCACCTGCTAAAATATGGGTATCCACTAAAAAATAATGTTCAAAGTAATCAAAATATGTCGGATTAATAAATAAATAAAATCTCTCACTCTCTCTGTATATATATATATATATATATATATATATACAGAAAATATTCGTCCTCCGTAAAATTTCTCGGACATTCAGGCCGGTAAATGTTGCTCCTCTCTGGCCAAAACGGTTATGGGCACGTCAGGCTATATGACGGTTCTGTATAGGATACAGCTTCAATTCCTGTCGGAGGGCGAATATTTTCAATGAAAATTTCTCGGACATTCAGGCCGGTAAATGTTGTTTAATACTGTTTATTATAAACAGAGCATTTACTTAAATATTTGTATCTATAAAAAGAATGTATAAACATAAAATGTCTTAATATAATTGCCGGACTTAGTCCATTTCAATATATATATATATATATATATATATATATATATATATATATATATAATATAAAAAAGTGAACATTAAAGTCAACACTTAGAGGCGACTGTCTGTTTCATGCTAGACGCAATCGTCAGCCGTGAGGATTGCGTCTAGCATGAAACAGACTGTTGCCTCGTCATGTTGACTTCAATGTTCACTTTTATATGTTTACTTACACACGCTCTATCTCTAATATTGAGCATTTTATCTCATAAATATAGCACACCTTAAGCCTATATTTCACGATCCAATTCATCAAACCTACAAATTCAAAAAGATTCTTACTCTATCCTGGACATTGAATTATACCTGGATTCTATCCTCTTGGGAATTTATATATATATATATATATATATATATATATATATATATACTAGCAGCATGGCCTGGCGTTGCCCGTGCTTGATTCAAAAATCCTACGACTCATACAGCAATCGCTATCACTTGACTTAAAATATTGTTGCCCTTCATTGCCTTTAAAGGAGTGCCCTTTGCCATGCTGATGTTGCTACATGCCTTACTTCTTGCCTATCTCACACTGCGAATTTTTTCTAAGCTTTATACTAAACATTAAATCTGTTACGAAAAAGAACTAAACAAAATGAACACAAAACGATCAGCTTTAAAAAAAAAAGGACTCGTAACTGGAAAAACCGAATGAAAAAGAATGTTAACAACAAATACTTTTTCGCACCCAACCCAGTTTTTGCGGAATCAGAATCAACGTTGAGTTTAAGCAAGCGAATGAGCCAATTGGAGTAAAGTGCCATGTAAATTTAAATTTTTCCCACTTGTGACGAATGCAGCTATCGATTTTTTTTGCATGCTAGCGTGCTAGTTAACATTCGAGACAGTCAGCTGTTGGCTCTCATGCTGGCCAATAAAATCTTCCTGCCTATTCGTGGCAGCCAGCTATTGGCTCTCACTCTGGCCAGTAGACAATGGCCGCAACCTACATGAAAACTGCCGTATAATCATGAAAAAATCGATTATTTCCACTATCGATGGGAGTTGGGAAATGCAAAGTCGATCTTGGTTTTCCCGCTAACTTGGAGCATGTGCATGTAAATTTTGGTGCAAATCCGTCGAAAACTGTGGCCGTGCATTCGTTACGCACACATCCTGCTTTTTTATATATATATATATATATATATATATATATATATATATATATATATATATATATATATATACAGGAACTATGAAAATTAATCCCCTCTTGAAAATGGCTAAAGAAGTCATGGCACTATACGATCTAAGAAGTCATGGCACTATACGATCTAAGAAGTCATAGAACTATGTGTACTAAGAAGTCATAGAACTATGTGTACTAAGAAGAGATAGAACTATGCGTACTAAGAAGTCATAGAACTATGTGTACTAAGAAGTCATAGAACTATGTGTACTAAGAAGAGATAGAACTATGCGTACTAAGAAGTCATAGAACTATGTGTACTAAGAAGTCATAGAACTATGTGTACTAAGAAGAGATAGAACTATGTGTACTAAGAAGTCATAGAACTATGTGTACTAAGAAGTCATAGAACTATGTGTACTAAGAAGAGATAGAACTATGCGTACTAAGAAGTCATAGAACTATGTGTACTAAGAAGTCATAGAACTATGTGTACTAAGAAGAGATAGAACTATGTGTACTAAGAAGTCATAGAACTATGTGTACTAAGAAGTCATAGAACTATGTGTACTAAGAAGAGATAGAACTATGCGTACTAAGAAGGCATAATGTTGCCATCACTAGTGATCACCTCAAACGCCATGATGCTGACTGAAAACATCATCCAGCTTTGTCCGAATTCTCTGTACTGTCTTCAGATTGACAACCAAAGATACTGAAATTTTCGTATTGGAGTTTCCGGTGAGAATGCCAAGCAGTACAGCATGCCTTTTTCCAATTTTCTGGCGCAGTGAATTGCGTCATGATGCTATTTTTCTCAAAGACGGTGCTGAACTGACACTATTATACGGTGCGGATGACAAAAAAAAAAAACTACCCGGATGTGCGAAATTAAAAATAGAAAATAGCGACAATTTACTGATCGCACTTTGTATTGAGATAGCGAAAACCACAAACATTTTCAAATATGCAAACGTTAGTTTGACTCACGAGATTTACGCGTGAATGTACAATATATTCTTAAACATTAAAATGTATCCATTATTTACACATAAATTGAAGCATGCCTATTTTTAAAAAATAGTTTCATATTTTGCATAAGGCTTCCTTTTGTTTTATTGTTTACAGTTTAATTAAATATGGCGGCTCAAACAAAATGTTATATTGTCGCATTTGAAAAGGGCGGGTTTGAAGATTTGTGAGGTGATAAAGCAGTTGTGTGTTCACAGAAAAATGTTTTTAATGTATGCCAAAAAATTGGAAAGGAGCGAATTGCCTCACCGAATAAAATTCCTGAGAGAAACTGTTCTGTTCTTGACATGAGTTACTGAAGCCGTCAAGAAGCTGAAGTGAAAACCACGAAAAGGCATAACGAACATGGTCAAAGATCAGGATATTGGGACTGTAAAAAAAAAATTAAACTTAAACTTAAAAAAACCCTATTACGAAAATGAAACTTCAAACAGAATTTGAATGAGAATTTCCCATGTCCCATCATCTCTCGATACAGCGAAACCAATTGGCCACCACGATCGTGTGACTTGACGCCTTTAGATTTCTTCCTTTGGGGTCATCTCAAAAGTAAGGTCTATGCCAACAAGCCAACAACAATTCAACAGCTGAAGGATGAAATAATAAGGCATATTGGAGAAATCGACGACCAACGATGCAGAGTCGTTATCTAAATTTTTTTCCATCGAGTGAAATTGTGCCACCAAAGCCTTGTCGGACATTTCGGTGATATTATTTTTCACACATAATTGCCATGACTTAAATAACATGATCCAATAGGGAAATAAATAAATAAATTTTCACCAATGACACTGATTTATTTACTGCTGACTTTGATCCGTCTTAATGAAACACCCTTTATATGTAAAGATATTTATCAGAGCACAAGAGCGTTGAGGAAACTTGCTGGTACTTAATCTCCAGTAGAAACAACCAGGTTTGAAAATTTAATGAGAAAAATATTAATAATAATATAAATTTGGTACCATCACAAACCCGAGAATGTGATCGAAAACGACCAATTCTTATGGGACTTTAACATCCAAAGAGATTGCATTCTTGAGGCTACCAAACCAAAAAGAAAAAAAAGTCCAGAAAATGTCTCCACACCGATGCGGTTGTTCTTGGTGACCATAATATCAAAGTCATTGAAAATCTTTAAAATACACCGGCCTCTGGATTGGGGCTGCAAGAATGTGGGATGTTCAGGCCACGATTGTCCTAGTTAACATTGATGGGTTGGGCTCTATATCACTGAACATAAAGACCTACACGAAGAAAATGGAATAAAGCCTCGTGTCCTATCGCTTCAGAAGTGTGCATTGCCTGGCGCTGCTAATATTCTGCCAAAAGCAGTTATTTGTTTGAGGTCGTCCCACTTGATTGAGAACACACATAATGCAAGATATTCGGTTGGAAATGAAAAACAGTGCGGGTAAAGAGAATAATAATAATAACAGAAGAAGAAGAAGAAGAAGAAGAAGAAGAAGAAGAAGAAGAAGAAGAAGAAAAAGAAGAAGGAGAAGAAGAAGGAGAAGAAGAACAACAATAACAACAAAAAGGAGAAGAAGAAGCAGATGAAGAAAAAGAATCTAAGAAATGTAGAAAAAAGAAGGAATATAGAATTAAAGGAAGAAATAGAAAAAGAACGATAATAAAGCTGAATCAGAGAAGAAGAAGAAGAAGTAGAAGAAGAAGAAGAAGAAGAACAACAACAACAACAGCAACAACAAAAAGAACAAGAAACAGAAGAAAAAGAATGTAAAGAAGGTAGAAAGAGGAAAAGAAAAAATAGAAAGAAGAAATATAGAAGCAAAGGAAGAAGAAACAGAAAAAGAACGATGATAAAGCTGAAACAGAGAAGAGGAAGAAGAAGAAGAAAAAGAAAAACGAAAAGAAGAAGAAGAAAAACGAGAAGAAGAAGAGAAAGAAGAAGTATAAATTAAATATAAACAGTAACCATGGCAATAATAGTAACAATAGGCGATGTAATGTAAGTGTTATGAAATGAAAAGTGTCAATAATAATATTATTAATATTAATAATGATAATATTAAGGAATTAAATAGTAATAATAGTAATAATATACATTATTAATAATAAACAATATCAATAATAATATTTCATATATATTAATAATAATATATTATTAAGAAAATACAGCCACTTTCTCAAAAACGTGCTGTGGCTTCCCTCTGTCTTTTCAACAAGTACTTTCATGGCAGCAGCTTCAACGAGCTACTTTCCCAAACTGCTTGAATTTAAGCGTGCTACGAGGTTGGCATCACGGACCCACCCTTTCACTGTCGAAACAGCTAAATGCAGCCATCTCTTCTACTCCAACAGCTTCTTGTCTCCCACCTTCCGTCAGTGGAACTCCCTTCCTATCACTTGCTTCCCTGATAGCTATAATCTTCAAATATTCAAATGTAATGTCAATCGACATCTTCTGATGCCTTGATCTTGATCCCAGTCCTTTTCTTTATCCTTTTTTTCAAACACTCCTCTTTAATCTTACTCTCACTCACTTTAACCCTTTGCGTGCTAGTGGTACTCCCGCCTTGCTTTGGGTGATTTGCTTAAAAAAAATTAGATAGAGAGTTATAAACAGACTGATAGATAGATCAATATTAACAAACATGCAGATAGATATTAACAGACAGAAAGAGAGAGAGATATTAAGACAGGAAGAGGGAGATATATTAACAGAGAGACAGAAAGATATTAACAGACAGACAGATAGATAGATAGATAGATAGATAGATAGATAGATAGATAGATATTAACAGACGAGCAGATAAATATTAATAGACAGACAAAGAGATAGATATTAACAGACAGGAAGAGTAAAATATATTGACAGAAAAATATTAGCAGACAGTCTGACAGACGGAACGATAGAGAGATACATATTAACAGAGAGACAGATAAGTATTAACAGAAAGATAGACATTAACAGTCGAACAGATAGATAGATAGATAGATAGATAGAGAGAGAGAGAGAGAGATATTAATATACAAGCAGATAAATATTAACAGACAGAAAGGGAGATAGATATTAACAGACAGGAAGAGTACGATATATTGACAGTCAAATATTAACAGACAGTCAGACCGACGGAACGATAGATAGATAGATAGATAGATAGATAGATAGATAGATAGATAGATATGAAACAAGCGAAACAGATGTCTGGCGGAAAAGAAATAGATGCAAGTCCTCATCGATTTCAATAATCTTCCCAATCGATTATCTTCTCTGTAAAATCAAATGCTGGAACATTCTCCGCTTGACTGCAAAGAAGTTTATGTCTTTTATCATAAAAGGGAATTGTCCAGAAGATTAGAGAGAAATGTCCAAGTCTCTATGGCGTCTTCTTTTCCCTTTCTACGCAATCTTCCAACGCTGTTATTTTTTTCTTCTTTTTCTATCTGTTAACGCGCACATTATTGTAATATTAGAGCAAAAAATAAGACTGATGCTTTTCGTGTATATAGATATATATGATGATAAAATAAGTCGTGATACAGAATCTCTAATAATATGTTCGTAGTTTAACAGTGAGAAATCGACAAGCAATATTCGAACTCCGATCGAGTTGGTTACGTTCATTTTCGCAGAAAAAAAATCTTTTATTCATCCTTCTTCACCAGTTATAGGTTAAAAAACAAAGATCACTGGATTCACTTGAGTTGAAAACCAAGCTATGAGAAGATCAGCTGTGTATTCAAAACCAGCTTGCATGTGCTTTGCCAGGCCATCACTTGTGTATGGCACGTCCTGCGTATGACGATAAATTACATCCGCGTCCAGGGTAAGATGATAAACTACGTCCAACAGCAAGGCATCTGATCAGGAGTCTTTAGGGGGCGTGGAACTACCTCTTAATTGCTGGTGTTCCCAGGTCCGCCCTGACCCGGGGTGGTAGCACCTGCTAGGGTCCCAGCTATGGGACTATAGTAACTCTAATAGTTAACCCCGGAATTGAGGTAAAAAGCATTATAAAAGTGTGAAAATAGGTTTTAATACCAGAAATACTTTGTAAAAACTATTACCAGAAATAAATTTTTGAAGAAAAAAAAATATTACCAGCAATAGGTTTTTTAAAAAAATAATATTACCAGCTATACGTTTTTGAAAAAATAATATTATTAGCTCTACGTTTGTGAAAAAAAATAATATTACCAGCTATACATTTTTGAACAAATAATATTATCAGCTATACATTTTTGAGGAAAAATATTAACAAAAATGGATTTTTGAAAACAAAAATATTACCAGGAAAAAACAGTTGTCGGCATTAAATGACCCATTGAGGTTGATATGCCGTAAAACAAAACAAACCAAACTTTTGCATGACCTCAGAATATATGACGCAGCTACGTCTCTAAAGCATTGTAGGACTCATGACAAGACAGAGGTTTTGTCCTCTGATGGACATTAACATGGCAAATATGACTTGATAGTCTATCAGTGGACGAAGCGCGTTCGCTTATATATATTTTCCTTTTTGACTTGTTTCACATACGCCCACGTATAGAGAGTTACTCAAAAAGGAAGAGCAGATAGAGAAAATTTAATAAAAACAAAAGCGACGTGACAAAAACACATTACTGGAAACTAAACGATTCAAAGTTTATTATTTTAAGGTTATATTTCGCAAATTACAATACACAAAACGATTTTTCTTGAGGCGTAGCCATTTTAAATGTTGACAAAAATTATGACAATATGGTCTGGAGCCCCTTCTACTTGCCTCGGAGTTCTTGATAGGCTCCAGAGGCGGATATGCAATATAATTGGCCCTGATCTGGCATCTCGTCTACAGTCACTTTCTCACAGACGCGCCGTCGCCTCTCTCTGTCTGTTTTACAAATACTTTCATGGCAATTGCTCCAAGGAGCTGCATTCGCTGGTTCCCAGACTTCATGAGTTCAAACGCCCTACGAGACTGGCATCCCGCTCTCACCCTTTCACTGTCGAAACTCCTAAATGTAGCCGTCTCTTCTACTCCAATAGCTTCATATTTCGCACCTCTCGCCTGTGGAACTCCTTTCCCTATTCCAGTTTCCCTGAGAGTTATAATCTGCAGCTATTCGAATGTAATGTCAATCGACATCTCCAGTTGCCTTGATCTATCCACTATCCTTCTCCTCATCCTTTCTTCTATCACTCCTATCTGATCTTCCTCCAAATTTCTGTAAACCCTTGCGTCCTAGTGGCTTCCCGCCTTGCTTGGGGTGAAACGCTTAAAAAAAAAAAATTATATAAAATCTGAATAAAAAAACAGAACAAAAAAAGCATTTAAACAAGATTGATAAAAATTTCATTAATTTTAATAACTTTGAGTCTTTTCCTGTCAAGTAATGTGTTGAATGTATTTTTATAAAATTTTCGAAATTTACTATTTCTGTTATAACACTTATTTATATATATATATATATATATATATATATATATATATATATATTTTATATATATAATATATATATATATATATATATCCGAAATTTTAGTAAAACGCAAAAAAATATAATGCGTGCAGTCGCAACGCTAAGGCTGATTTTTTTTTTTTTTTTAAATTTAAGAGAATTCGTTTTTTACTAACATGGCAATTTGAGATTTTTTTTTATTGTAGGAGTTTATCAGTCAATGTGGCATGAACTAAATTGTTCAATAAATAGAACAATGTCTCAGATGTTATCCCGAAAATTTGCACGTCGATCAGTTCTTTTAAATCAAATATGTGGTACAGTTCCTTTTATCTTCTAATCAATTATTCATACAAAAAGTAGATTAGTAAATTTAATAATATAAAATGGCGAAATCACTTCGCTAACAAAATTTTAAAGGTGCATTAATCTACAAATCACTCGATGAATATCATGATCCTTGTTTAATTTCATTAATTAATTAATCTATATTAATTCCATTAATATAGACTTATATATATATATATATATATATATATATATATAAATAATTGCGAATGTCAGTGTGTCACTGTGTCGCACTGTTTTTAACTTTACTCCTAGAGGCCGTAGCCCAACATATCATATCATTTTGGAATCAGGCCGTCTCCGTGAGCAAAAGAAAACATTCCGGGCTTGATCCAGACCCGCAATCCAGAAATTCTGTATTCCCAAATTTTCATTTCTTCGATTATTTTCGGCGATTTTTTTTTATTTGATTTTTTGCGACGAATTTTGTTGTACGATAACAATTTTTATAACTTGGAAATGAATTTTGGGAATAATCGAAATTAATTTCGAAATCCATCGAAAGTCACCCATAAAATAAAAATAGTTGTTAGAACGGAAATTAAGAACCTACATACATCAAATTGTCTTTAAATTAAGTGGCGGCAGAAGAATCATCGTTGAAATTTTAAAAGGTAAGCTTAAATATTCATGTCATGCTTAAATGCAGAGATCAATTTTGAGTTCTTTTGCAGTTTATTGTTGCCTATCGCAACCTACCTCACTCTATCTATTGGGATGAATGCCCAATCAAGAGCGTACATTGATGTGAACTTCCCTTGAGAGTGAAATCATCACATTAGAAGTTGAATAAGATGAAGCAAGTAGACGACAACAATTGCCTTACGACTATATCATGTTGAAACACAAGTACCCGTAAGATCACCGAAGTTAAGCAACATCGAACCTGATTAGTACCTTTGCCCCTTGTGAATACAAGGTACTATAAGCTTAGAATTTCCATTACATTTCACACATCTAAGCTTTAATAAAGCAAAGTTATTACTCCAGAACACAGTGTATGTGAAAAATTTAATTTTTTAATATTTTTATTGCTCAAAACACACACAGACACATATATATAAATTATTAGGAGGATTTGATAATTATAATTAAGTAATTCATCGAGTCTGAAAGAAAACTCAACAGAATGCATTGGACGGCCGTTTCGTCCTATATTTGGGACTGCATCAGCAGTGCACATCCACTACCGAGAACTGAATCCCGGACAGTTAGGTTAACAAGCAAACATCATACCAACTGTCCCAACGGGCTTTCTGCATTCTATTGAGGTTTCTTTCAGACTCGATGAATTACTTAATTATAATTATCAAATCCTCCTAATAATTTCTATCATTTGTATATCATTGCTTGATCCGGCTTCTCATGCTCTAGAGTGAGCGGCTTGGTGATAGTAGTCGTGGCTCCCGGGGGCACAGTCCTATGGTTAGAGAGAATCTCATTTGAGTTCCACCACGGAATATGTGAGCGAGCGGCGCTATATTGGGTCTGATTTTCTACCTCTTCGTCACCGAGGCCCGTTTGAACAGTTGGTATGATTTTTGATTGATAACCTAAATGTCCGAGTTTCAATTCTCGGTAGTGGATACGCACTGCTGATAAGTCCCAGATATAGGCCGAAAAGGCCGTCCAGTGCATTCTGTTGAGGTTTCTTTCAGACTCGATAAATTACATAATTATTATTTTTTTTTTTAAAAAATATAAAAATATATATATATATATATATATATATATATATATATATATATATATATATAAACAAACATTATTGCTGAAATTGTATGACAACGTGGAAATGTTTTCTTGTGAGGCGCTTCATCTTGCAGAACTTCATCGGACTACATATTTTTTTAAAATTTATTTTGGTACTACTACACATGCGCATGAACGAAGAGTGCTGGGTATTTTATAATTTATTAGAAATTCAGTTCATCTACAGTAAATTTGCGCCCTGGCCCTTAAAAAATTTCACCATTCCTGGCAGATTCTCTGTTATCACAGTGTGGGATATCCATTAACAAAAGTGATGAAAAGAAAAAGAAAAAGACTCTAAATTAATATAAAAAGAATCTAAATAAAATTCTAAAATTCCCAGCACTGCTCCTTCGTGTGCATGTGTAGTCGTACCAACATAACAAATTTATGATGTACTGAAGGATGAAACGCGTCGTAAGTAAACTTTTCCACTTTCTCATACAATTTCCCCAATATATATATATATATATATATATATATATATATATATATTAGTGAACATTGAAGTTAACACTCAGAGGCGACAGGCTATTTCATGCTAGACGCAATCGTCAGGCCACGTCGCCTGACGATTGCGTCTAGCCTGTCGCCTCTTCAACTTCAATGTTCAATTTTATTTTATATTTACATACGCTCTATTTCTGACATTGAGTACTTTATCCCATAAATATATCTCACCTCAAAACTATATCTTTTCATATATATATATATATATATATATATATATATATATATATATTAACAATTATTAATACTAATAATAATCTTATAAGTATAAGAAATTATACACGCTCGGAAAACCTTTGGTGTCTTGATTTGCAAATAATCAGACCAATACCAAAGGGGAAAAAGGTACAAAAAACGAAAGAGCCAAGAACATGTACGTTAGCCGAGAGTAATCGTCTAGCATGCAAGTCCAAAGCCCAAAGAAAACAAACTGATACGTTTAAGAAAAATAACTAAATAAAGTGCTCAATACAGTTAGTACAGCAGACCTAGTTAAACCTAGAGAGCCAGACAATGTCTGATCCTTACCCCACTCCTCACTATTAAGTATTGTAATAAAAATAGAAATAAATTTAAAAGAATTCCTATCTCTCCCTTCCCTCTCTAATTTCGACCATCTGTGTCACACTATCTCTCACTACTCTCTATCTTACCTTACATAAGCTTAATAGTGCCCTTCAAAAGTGTAAGTTTAAATTCATTTTTTCAGCCTTGAAAGTGAGGTCTGATGATCCAGAGGAAAAGAAACTTTCTGGTGAAATAAATTATAACAATGGAACCTTAAAGTGGTTTGTTTTTCTATAAATTGATATATATATATAGGCAGTATATCTTGATTCAAAAATGTTTGGTTGAATAAACTAGACATTTTATGTCTATTTATTTTATTTTTATCCTCTCAAATTCTCGGGTCAATTTCTTAAGAATGTTATTAAACTCATTAAGGAAGGCGCCTTAGCTCCCGTCATTTCTTTTTTTTTTTTCCCCAATTGCTTTCAATCTCATCCAAGGGGTGAATTGCTAAGCCAAAAAATTATGTAATTGTGAATGTTTTAGTAAATGGGTATGAGACACGCTCTTTTATAATTATGAACATGTATGAACGCGTATTTACATATATATATATTTTTTACACGAAAGCTAATGTTTCCACTACCACGGTATCACGACCTCTGGTATCTTCAGGCAGTAAGCAAGATTTCTCACATCAGTTCTAAAACACTCTCATAGATACACCTGCTGCTAGTGAGGGGTGAGAGCGAGCGAGAGAAAGAGAGAGAGAGAGTGTGGGAGGAATGCTTTATAAATATGAGCATTTCTCCCTTAGCTCATCACTTCGGTATTGTAGCCTTTTCCAGAATGCTTGCACGCCGTCATCACCACCGATCTCTCATGCTGATCGGGATATTTCCTTATCGCCAAATTTTCCTCCAGGTACAACTTGCATATTCACTTAATGCACGGGTTTTTTGCACCATGTCCTATTCAATAATAGGACTATTTTTTTTTTCATTTTTTCCCCTTTTACTTCCCTCGCGTAGACAGCAAGTCGTGTGTTATTCCCTATTTTTCCAGTTTGAACGATGTTTTATGGTTCTAATTACAGGATTTGAAAGTTCCTTCAAATAGATACACAGATAGATAGATATCGGCATATTGAGATAGATAGATAGATAGATAGATAGATAGATAGATAGATAGATAGATAGATAGGAACAGACTGAGATAGATAGATAGATAGATAGATAGATAGATAGATAGATAGATAGATAGATCAGAATGAGATAGATAGATACATAGATATATAGATAGATATATACGAACATACTGAGATAGATAGATAGATAGATAGATAGATAGATAGATAGATAGATAGGAACAGACTGAGATAGATAGATAGATAGATAGATAGATAGATAGATAGATAGATAGATAGGAACAGACTGAGATAGATAGATAGATAGATATGAACTAGCTGAAATAGGTAAATAGATATGAATATAAAGATAGATAGATAGATAGATAGATAGATAGATAGATAGATAGGAACAGACTGAGATAGATAGATAGATAGATAGATAGATAGATCAGAATGAGATAGATAGATAGATAGATAGATAGATAGATAGATAGATCAGAATGAGATAGATATATACATAGATATATAGATAGATAGATATATACGAACATACTGAGATAGATAGATAGATAGATAGATAGATAGATAGATAGATAGATAGATAGGAACAGACTGAGATAGATAGATAGATAGATAGATAGATAGATAGATAGATAGATGTAAACCTTATTTTTCGCTTTCTGTTGATATGCAAAACACATTTTTCATCACTTGTAGCAATGCGATGCAAAAATGAAAGGCTAATATTCCTGGTTAAAAGACAGAGGTCGGTCCTCAAGCGAAACCTCGTGACGCATCCAAATTCTTTCTTTGCAAGTTTTTTTTTTCCGATTCGCTAGTGATATTCGTGGGAAGCTGAACACTACATTAACTCTGTGATGCTTTGGCGTGAATACAATCCAAGAGAATCTTTCAAAAATCTTTCATTCAAAAAATCAGTCGTCTTTCAAATCGAGACTTTCACAACCGCTCATATCAAAGTATTTAAAACCTCCGCTGACATGTACGGGATTGAACTACTTCCGTATACAGTGCAAGATTGTTTTTCAATGCTTCAGAAACAGAATCCAAATCAGTAGATAGTGGCAAATATTTGGCTTTTTGAAATTATAATTCTCACTGAGAGTTAACTTCTGAAAAGTACTATATACTACATACTTAAATGCATTTTAGAGTACCATTCGTTCTTGGTTATATCTCGGGTGGTTGATTAATTATTCCTCGCGGTAACATGCGAAATTACTTTCAGGTGAAAACCACAGAAATGAGGATACTCGTCCTAAGAATTCTTTGTATAATTTTATGTACACTATTCCTGGGTATGACGATAAACTATATCAAGCAGCAATGTTTCTTATTGGGACATTGGAGCCATCTCTTAATTGTTGTTGATCCCAGATCCATCCTGACTCGGATTTGTAGCACTTGTTAGAGTCACAGCGATAGGCAAATAATCAACCACCTTCAAACGAAAACTAAACACTATGAAAGTGTAAAAATACATTTTTATAGTAAATATACCAGTAATACTTTTTATATACAAAAATTACCAACAATACATATTTATAGTCAAATGACCAACAATAAATTTTTAAACAAAAATTACCAACAACACATTTTATCTGCAGTTGAAAGGATACACCTGCGTTCCAAATATATTTAGTTCGATCCATAAAATTGTGTTCAGGATATTTAGATATCGGCATTAAATAACCCATGGAGATATTGATATGCCGCTAAATCAAATCAACCAACAAATTAACCAAAAAGAAAGAACTCTTTGATGACATTAATCCATGTATAATCCCAAAATTTCCTGAAGAAATCAAACTGTATTCCAAAATATAACTTCAACAAAACTACAGCATGAATACACATATCACCGCTTGGAGTAATTATGTCCACACAAACATGATTATGCACAAAAGCTGAGTATCTTCCACCATGCATTCAACTGTGAAAGTAGAATACCATATATTTTTATTACTTCAAAGATCTCCAAGAAATTAAATTTCGTCATTAAATGACCCATAAGGTGTTGATATGCCATTAAAAATATTCTGTTCACTGTATTGTTTACTGTGCAAGAAATCGGAATATATATCGATTTATCCTAAATTCGTGTTCGTTCAATATTTATGAATAGCGATGATATTGACCGGTACAGTGCGATTCACTTTTATATATATATATATATATATATATATATATATATATATATATATAAAATCTTTACAACGTCAGGTTTCACAGATCATTTAGTGATAAAGTAAAACCCTTTTTGTGGGTGGGGGGGCATCCGAAAACCTAACTCCTCTCTCCTAACCGGGGATCCTTGCAAACGCCAAACTAGTTGATCGCTTGGCAGGACGGAAAATGGCTGACCCTCCGTTGACCCTCCACCACGTCAAGAATCTCGAAATGGTAGGCCGATTGAGCTCTGGCACCGCAGTTCGGGCTAGCGTCAAGGCGGCCCCAAAAGGTCTGGGTTTCGGGAGCTTGACGCACCTTCATTGTTTAAGACCGCCTGTCTCAGCCACGTGATGATCCGGGGTCGAGAACTTGGAGTGAATTATGTGGGTATCGAGTACGCGAACCATCATCTAACCTAAACATCTGGGACCTGCATGAGGCTCTCTACCTCGGTTTCTCCTTCTTGTCCAATGGCGATGTCCCCATCGACAGTGACAGCATGCTTAGTACGCTGGGTGCTTTTAGCTTGTGAACACATTGGCGACGTGCACATTATGGTCGTTTTCGCCATAAAGTAGTCATGCGATGAATGCCGGAGTCTGTTCCATTCTGGACTTGGCCTCCTGAACCATGTCGGGTCCAAGCATCTTGGAGGCACCGGATGAACCATACTCGGATATGGGCGTTGCCTTTTTTTTTTTTTTTTTTTGCACTTACATCAAAATCGTGCTTAACAATCTACTGTGGGTGAATAGGGTTTTTTTTTGTTATGCACGCTGGCAGCCACCAAATTGTTGTGGAGTTGTCACTCAAATCCTAGCAGCAGAAATTAGCCTTGTTTTTACGGAGATAAAAGCATACTTGACAAAAAATAAAACGTACAGAAATAACAGGAAAAGCATGGTACATGGTATGTTACTTTCATACAATTTATTTGCATATTTTTGTGTATTTTTTAGGTTACAATAATTTCATGGTACATGGTCATAAATTACTCTACACGCCACATCGCAGAGAGAAAGGTTCGTCGTGACGAGATTGAATTTAACGTCCTTTAGCTGGATGTCCGTATTTCCGACAGGAACAGTTTTTGTTGCATGATGGGAGTATTTTTAGTATTTTTTTAATTTTATTTAATGTATTTTATCGAACGTTTTTATGTTATCGTTTTATTTTATTTTATTTTATTTGTAATTTTCATTATTACTATTATTATTATTATTATTTTCATTGCTTTCTGATGTGTACACAATTCTTTCCGGATCCTGCTCAGAGACCTAAGGGCAGAAATGGCATCATGACATTTTCCACTGACCAATTAAAAAAAAAAAGCACATACGTATTTTACATAGATAAAGCCCTTCGTAAGGTGTGGGCTGTATTCGTGAGAACAATTTTTTTATATTTCTTTAAGGCTTTGCCTTCCAGGAATCCCTTCAATAAGTCTACCGGAATCATTCCAACCAATCCGAGTGTTCCAACTACAATAGAGATTATTGAATGTTGATGTACCCAAGTGCACATTTCTGAGATTTTGATTTCAAGGTCCATGTATTTTGATAGCTTTTTTTTATAGATTCTTCTTCTTCTTCTTCTTCTTCATCTTCTTCTTCTTCTTCTTCTTCTTCTTCTTCTTCTTCTTCTTCGTATTATTATCATTATTATTATTTATTTTATTATAGTTATTATATTTTATTTTATTTTTGTTTTTTTAACCCGTGTAACCCGGATATAAGAGACCCGGATATAAGAGAAACCCGGATATAAGAGCGATATTCTCTGGTCCCAAATTAGAGCCTGTGTTAATGTATATAAAATAGACCAAACCCGGATATAAGAGAAACCCGGATATAAGAGACTTCTTCTCCGGTCCCGACAACTCTCTTATATCCGGGTTACACTGTAATAATAATAATAATAATAATAATACTTCACTACTTAGATAAATGATAATAATAGAAATAATAAAAATATTATTGCTTAAGATTCAGTTTTGTTAGTATTTTTTCAAATATTTTTAACAAGTAAATTAATAAAAATGTACTCATATATTTGATGATAATTTATTATTTTCTCGTATACATACATACACACACACACATTTTTATATGTTTATATTAGATTTGTAACCTGTAGTCGATATTACTTTTGTCAAATTTTCTTGATTACACAGAATAAATGCCCTTCGGTTTTAGTTCCCCCCACCCCATCTCTCTCCCCGACCCCTTTTTCGTTTCTTTTCCTCTCCCTCTCTCATCTTCTGATCTTTAAGATTATATCGTCTATTGTGTATGTATGTCATCACAAAACGTATCCTTTCCGGTTACATCTTTAATGTATTAGACATCCGAGAAGATTCATATTTTTCTCACTTAAACCGTCTTTGACTCCCCTCTCTAACACTTCTCTCTGTTAAATTTTAATCCCCACCCCCTTCATCTTTAGACCTTCCTGTTCTTCTCTCGTCTATTACCCCTTCCTATAGCTTTCATTTACTCTAACATTCGTCCCACACTCTCATACATACACTCTCACTAAATTTTATTTTATATTCCCGGAGTTGTTTTTCTGTTTTCTTTTTGAATTTGTAGGTCTGATGAATTGGATCGTATTTACGATTCAAATGGAATAAATTATGACCATGGAATATTAGTGTTTGAGCCTTTTTATTATATCCTTACTCTGTCCTGGACATTGAGATCTACTTGGATTCTATCCTCTTGGAATTATTTTTATATATATATATATATATATATATATATATATATATATAGTTTAGATATATGATTGCATATGTATGTATATTAACCACTAATATTATCAATATATATATATATATATATATATATATATATATATATATATATATATATATATATATATATATATATATATATATATATACAAGTATATAATTGGTGTATACGGAATGAATTCCAATAACCAACAATTACTATTCTTAAAAGAGAATACAAAAGTAGAGCAGATATAAACTTTTTTTTTAAATTTATAACATAAATATGTTATAAAAGCTCTACAAAAATAGCCATTTTGTTTCAACACCCTCGGTGTCTTATCAAGTGATGATGTTGAACGTAAAGGTTTTATATTCAACATCATCACTTGATAAGACACCGAGGGAGTTCCATGCATGAAATACCGAGTCGTGCTATCGACGTTGGATATTATATATATTCACAAATATATATATATATATATATATATATGTGTGTGTGTGTGTGTGTGTGTGTGTGTGTGTGTGTGTGTGTGTGTGTCGAACATGGGAACAACGACGACATTTTAGAGAAAATTGAAACGAAAAGCAAACATATACCTAACACCAGAAAGAGGCAGTTGAAATTTCTGGTGTACGTAATGAGGTGAGAGGGCTTGAAAATTTTGACACTCACAGGACAGATTGAGGCGAAGAGAAACCTGGGAAAACAGCGCTTAACATATTTGATGGGCTTGAGTTAATGGATGGCAAAATAGGGCTTAGGAGAAATAACAAATAGTCAATGTAAATGTTGTGGTGATCCATTGGCGCCTACGTCTTAAGTAGACACGGTAAATAAAGAAAAAGAAAAGCTATGTAGAGGGAAACGAATTTTGCAAATTGTTTCAGGAGGAATGGTTGTTTATCTTGCTAGTTCCAAATGCAGACCACACATTAATCGTAAAATGGTGTCTAGCCTGTAGTGTACCATGGGGTTTCCTATCCGACCACAAATGTTGGTTGTGTAAATTTTAAGGTTTCATAATTTATCGAAATCATTTTTACAATCTACCCAAATTCATCTATATTATTTTTTTTCTTTTTCTTTCCATCGTCTTCGTTACTAAATATCCCATATTGTGATAACAGAAGACCCGCCAAGAATGGTGACAATTTCTATGAACCGGGACGTAAATTTACTATGGATGAACTAGCAATTAAAGCACTTTCTAAACATTTTCGTCTTAGTGAATTATGTTCTCTTTTAGTTAGAGTAGTATTTTTATAAAGTAGTAGGAAGAAGGGACGAAGCATAAACTACAAGAAGACTGAATGCATGGTCATCAGTAAAAGGATAAGTTCTAAATGCGATTTGCAGGTCGGGGACACTAGAATCAAGGAGACGCGGAAGTGTAAATATCTGGGTCGCGTTCTGACAGAGGACGGTAAATGCAACACTGAGATCCGTAGACGTAATGGGATGGCCAAGGACGCATTCCAAAAACTGGACAGAGTATTATGAGACAGGATTTCTTTAGTAAAGAAGAAAAGAATACTGTGCTATTACGTGACATCTTTTCTTCTTTACCGCAGCGAATGTTAGACTATTTCCTCAAAGATGAATGTAGAATATTGGTTAGCGTGCCAGTGGTCTGACACACAAGTAGGCAAGTGTAGCCAAAGCTAATAACTGACTTGAGTCATTTCATGGAGAAATATATGGGTGAATAAAGACCACTCATGCAAATGTATTGGGCAGGTCCATTCTAGCAAAATGGACCATCCTAACTGGTGTATTTGGCACTCTCCTATAAAATGAGGTAAAATCAGCTGGCTTGCTTTACAAGGAAACAGAAGAAGGCAGCCATGTTGGCAGGTAAGTCACTTGACTTCTATAATGAAGAAGAGACTCGAGGCGACGGAGATGTGGTTCTACAGAAGGATGCTAAGAATATGATGGGCCGAGAGTGTGAGCAACGGTGATGTCTCAGAGAGGAATCAAACAAGGAGAAAGCTTATACTTAACATCAGGAAGAGGCAGCTGAAGTTCTTGGGACACATAATGAGGAAAGAAGGGCTGTAAAATCTGATACTCACGGGTCGAATAGAGGGAAAGAGAGACAAGGGAAAACAACGCATGACATACCAAGCTGCCTTAAGTAAGTGGATGACAGAACGTCGTCTGGGGGAGGTGGCAGAGGGAAGGAACATTTTGAGAGCTGCAAGTGATAGAGGGACGTGGAGAGCCATGATCGCTTACGTCCTGAGATGACACGGCACATAGAAAAAAGGAAGTATTTTTATGTCAGAATTGTGTTCAGTTTCGTTATGGTGAACATATATAAAGACATGGAAAGTACTTGTGAAATAAAAGTGAGTCTCACTCGTACAATGCATATCTCGCCTTATTTAATTGTAATCTACGGAAAATATTCGTGAATAAGAAAGGATTATGATATAAATAAGCAGACATAATGTTTGTGATTTTTTCAATCAGACATGCCTAAGAGAGAAATTGCTGCCCAAACACACACACACACACACACACACACACACACACACACACACACACACACACACATAGATCTTTTTTTGGCAATCTAGCCAAATTCATCTATATTCTTTTACTTTTCATCAACTTTGTTTTTAAGTATCCCACATTATGATAAAAGAAAACCTGCCAAGAATGGTGACAGGTTGTAAGAGCCTGGACGTACATTTACTGACGCTGAAGCACTTTCTAGACATTTTCGCCCTAGTGAATTATATTCTCTTTTAATTAGAGTAGCAATTTTTATGTCACAATTATTGTCAGTTTTGTTATGGTGTACAACCAATGCGTAAGTTTTTGATACTAGCAGATTTTTTTCATTCATGTGTAGTCACAATAACACCAAGAAACCCAATTTGATGAAATCGTAACGGATGAAACGCGTCACAAATATTTTTTTTCC